AAATAAGGTTTGTTAACTCGCCACCGCAGAATTATAAACCCTTAGGCATAATCATATACTTATAGAGCGCATTCATGCATCTAAAATATGGATTGGAACTGCCTGTAAAATAGTTATGCAATAACCCCCGCCAAAGCAGGTATACCACGAGATATTGCATAATTCACGACATATACGCACGTGCCGCGGGCGAATGCATATATGGAGCGAACTGTGCAATATCAAGTGGTATACCCGCCTTCGGCGGGGGTTATTGCTATTATATTGTACCAGTATATTTAGAATTCGATAAAACTATCGCATCTACTATTATATTATGATTATGGCCCATGAGCATGAATATTTATAAGAATAGTATGTAGTTGTACACTGAATGCATACGAAAAATTCATAGAAACACAATTCAAATTGACTACAAAATGACGTTTATTCCGCATGATAACGAAACGTATATCCAGTGAATAGAGCACCGTAAACACCAAAAATACCATAACAAAAGATGACCTCTCTGACATTTAACTGACCGCGAATTTTCCACATTTTCATTTCGTTTTTTGTACAATTTGGTCTGTAATTTACCCATTGACAGTTGTGAAATAAACCGGTTTTGTGACTCATCATACTACTTGTAACTGTGGATATTTGACGTTCAGCGGTACTTGGTTCGACCATAGACCCTATAAAATCAGGTCTATGGTTCGACCAAAGTTTGAGACATGGCGGGACGCGGTAGTGTAACTCAGTCCCAACATTTGACCTGGATACATCTTTGGTATAATAACCAAAGTTTTGTGACAGTGTGCCTGACAAGTTTTGTCGTTGTGAGACTGAAGTTTGCTGGTGTAAAATCGGATTCTCACATCGTTTTTGTGAAACGTACATGATATGTCTTGCCTCAAAGTCGGCACTTTGCACGCCGGCGCTCTTTATTGTGGTTGGTGTACACTCGGCACAAATCTCCAGAATTCAAAATTACCTTCATCATCTGCTGTAATTTATTTACCCATTGTGAAGAATTACAATACCATATATCGTCGTCGAATTCTGAGTTGTCCCGTGTTTTTTGGATGGCAATTACCCGGATGCTATTTCACTGCAATGTTGTCAGTCGCTGGGACACCGGTTGTTATTGGTGGCAAACATGTTTGCCTGTGACTCGTGGTTTTTTGCATTTTCTTGTCCTTCAATCCTCCAAATACATTTTGCTGGATCCGCCACTGTCTCTAGTGAGTTTATTTAGATTCCAAAAATCTTTATTTTATTATTTAGACGCATGGTCACAGCAGCAATTGTTAATTGTGCAATATAATCTAATAACATAGTGTATAAGAGAATGCACGGGGTCAGGTCAAACATTTTTACCATCACGTGTGCCGTTTCCTGGCCAGTTTAAAGGTTCACAGTTGTGTAACACAAGGATAATTTAGACGGGCACCAATATATATTGATTTAATTATGTGCATATATAAATGGAGTCAAGAATGCACAATCTTACACATACAACATAACACTAATATGATGGTATGCTTACTTGTCTTCAGCAATATCGCTTCTCTGCAATAGTTTAGTCATTAACGTGGTCTCAGCAATGCACCAACACGCATAAACATTTAGTAAGGGTTGCTGATGTGTGCCATGTTGTGGTGCATGTTAGAACAATAGACTAATGGTGTTCCACCAATCAATGGAGTTGGTCACCCAAGTGACCGTACTGGAGTTCATGAGGTAAGTGAAAGAAACTCTACCTTCACACCTGTATCACTTGGTTTCCGTTCCAATTGGACTTCAGTTTTTGATGTTAGAAGTTAGGTTCATTTAAGGTAGTACGTGGATATGCCCACCAGATTTCAAGAACTTTGTCAGTCACAATCTTGAGTAGGAACCCCGTAAAAACAAGTGGTTACACTTTAAATATCAGCAATGACACCATACAGTATATGGTGTCAATCATATATTGGTGTACTGAGTCTGTACATTCATCTTCCGGATAATTGTTCAATGATTGGGAAGTTGCAATACACGCGTTTTGCTTAAGATAATTTTGAATTGTTCAAGTGCAAGTTGGAGACAAGAATTCCATTTTTTAGGTTTACTTTTATTTGTAAGTTCGTGCAGGAACGCAACAAGGTCGCAACAAATTTAAATAACACCCAGCTAGCTCTACAAATGATCTAACATTTCTTGGTGTCAGGCGTTGCGGAGCATTCTGCAGTGCATATACTTTCCTGGAACTGAACCAATTGGCCTTGTCCCACCATATGTCGAAAAAATCAAACTGGGTAAAACCAGCATAGCATTTCAATGGTATAGTTGTTAAGCCAGTCCTCTGAAGTGATTTAGTACATCGTCGAATGTCTTCAGAAGGGTTTGCTAATCTTACTGTATATCAAGACCTAAACTAATAACCACAACATCCGAACCGACACTGGGACTATTCACAAGTCGGAATGGGAGGTAACAATAAGGAAATGACCAAAGGGATAAAGAAGACAGTTTCGACCTTTGCCTCACGGGCTAGTCAGAACCAGTTTGATCAAATAACTAATCCGGCTCATGGGCTCAGCGTCAAAGATTGTGATTTAGTGAGTTTCCTGAAAATCAAAATCAAAGATATCAATCAGGCTTCTTGATAAGCACAATGGGGGAGCAGTAGGGTGAATCATAAGGGTGGTCAGTATTTGGTACACCTGTATTTGGTTTGTCACTAGTACCTTTTTATCAGGAATTTCAGCTGAATGTTTTGATTTACGGACACCCACACCACAAGAAGGATACCGTCATTCCACACATGTGAAGCGTGAATGTCCATTCCATGCCTTTAAACTTATAAAATAGTGTTCAGGTCATAGATGCGGCTTCCACTCTTACAATGTAGTACGAATTAGGGGCCTCTAGCGCAGCTTCAGTGGCTCGTGTACCATCGGCCATTACACAAGTATAAGGTCTTCCAGTGAGCTGGGAGTGACATACCAAATCCTTTCAAATAAAAACCCCAGTAAACCTCGTATCTCTAATCACCATCACTTTCTGTCTTTGGCCACACCCTCAGCAGTTGGGCGTTCTACTTCTGTTTACGAAGCTTATGTCCCATCACCCCTGACCAGGTGACAAATATGTTCGAAATTCCTGCAGGTTGTGATGGCAAATGCCTGTCTGTGGTACTCTTGTGTGGTATAATGATGCACCTTGACGTGGTAGTTGTCTGCAAATCAAGAAAGGGGTGCTACATGGGGTTAAATTACCCACCCAAATCCCACTAGCGACTGTTAATATTTTTCAGCACATGACCATTTGTGGCATAATTAGTCTGTTTTACTCATTATAGACGGTATTTAGGTTATCTACGCGGTGCTAGCCATTTTTTAAACCTGGTTTCAGCAACGGATTTTATTTACGATTTGGGGTATAGTAGTTCAGCAAACTTCGCTCGAGTCTTGTCACTGGTGGTCTCTCAAAACACCAACATTTCTGGGATGTACATTCTATAATACTGTTCGGGCAAGCACAAATCGTTGAGCACTTTCCTATTAGGCACAACACCTGATATGTTAATGCACAGTGTCAAGTAATGCTCGTGTTGAATCCTAAATTTTCTACATGTGTCGACAGGTATCACGTTATATACCGCCAGATTGAATGTATCTCCTTTAATTAACCACTGCTTAGCACAAATTTATCTTCGATTTATGTAGACGTCAATGTCCTCGACATCTTTAAATTTTGGAGGGATTGAATTTTAGTTCCATTTGGTATTATTTTGTAGTTCTAAATTAGACATAACATAAAGCTGAGCTAATATGGCGACAGCCTTATTTTTAGCTGTTTGTAGGTTACTTGTTCAAACATTTATTTCTCAAATTTAGCCTTTTCTTCCAATGGCTTATGAAACCTACCTCAAGTTTAACTACTTGTTCCATATTTTCTCTCTAAACTTCTTGCTAAACTGTACTCGTTCAACTCTTTATCTTTCAAGATTAGCTCATTAGTTTTTGTTTGCTAATTGCAGGCATTTAAAAAAAATATTTCCTAATTAGTATATAAAAAAAGTTCAACATCCCCCAAAACCCCAATAATAATCAATATTTTTACCATACTTCGTATGCGGGTTCTTGACCAGTTTAAAGTTACACAATTCGCGTAACACATAGATAATTTAGACTGATAGTCACCAATATAGTTTAATTTAATAATATGTATATATTAATGATGAAAAGAATGTTCATCTGTCAATCTTACACATACAACACCACTCGTGAAATGCGTGAAACAATGATAGTTTATTACGTACAACAAAATAAGTGTGGTATGATTACTCGTCTCTCACCCCTACAATAGTTCAGTGTGAAACACACTACAACGCGGATACATGGTTAGTTAGAGTTGAAGGCAATGAAAAGTGCATGCACTTACACACACCACATCAAATTCGCCAATGAGATAAGATGCGCAGTGTACATTCACAACTCTTCACATATATATTTGTAAAATATCACATAAATAAATTGGCCAGTAAATGACAGATTGTTTCAATTAAAAAGCGCGATATAATGACTGAAAGCCCCAAACAAACTAGAGTATACATTTTCAGATGAGTGTCAAATCGTTGCACGTGTTAGAATAATACAGCAATCAACGTGGACTGAATCTCACGACTTGGAGCATAGGAAATGTACCAGTGATTGGAACTCAGAATGTTTACTTCGGGTTCGGCTATGGTAGTGGATCCACTCGACGGATTTCAGGGTCGCCTTAAGCGTGGACCCTCTTTGTCAGCCAATAGCTTGGGATGATTATTTAATAATTTTAATGACAACGTTAACCTGACAACACTTTACAGACTAACACATTGTAAAATCAACATTACACGCTTTGTGTTTGATGTATGTCTGAATTGGAAGAAGCTACAGGCAATGTGTACAGGACACATGCAACGAGGAATAGAATATTCAAATAAACTACACACTATTGAAATAACGTGTTGTAATTACGGCAATCAAGGATCACATCTTGCTTATTTTGAGGCTCTTCCGGAACAAGGAACTCAGTCGGCCTGTTGCCGTAGTCGTGCTTCTCCGCCGCAAAACATTTTGTAATCCTACTACTGTTTTCATTAGTCCCCAGCATTCTTTGCGATATACGTCATTCATGAGAAAATATATAACCGTATTGATAAGATTGTTACACATGGCGATGCATTCAACTATGTAAAACAATGTCATGTTGTTGTTCTCACGTTGTAGGATGTCTTCATGGAAGTGCACGGCGAGATTGTAACCGTGATAAGGCCCCCAACATATACCAAATGACACGACAACAGTTACTAACATCCGGATAGTTTTCTTCCTATTACCGACTGCAAGGTCTCGGTGTCTGTTTGTGAGTTGACCAGGGGTGCGATGAAACCATACTTTCTTAATTATATTAATGTAGGCGAACGTCATAACGCCCATTGGTATAATATATTCGACTACTGTTAAAAACACAATGTATGCTTTAGACGACTGCCTGTTTCCCCAATATTCACCGCAGTAATGTATGTTGTTACCGGCTCTGTCGTATCCGCTCGACATGGACGTTTTCATTGGTGTTGGCAACGTGATCAAGATAGACACAACCCATATAAAGATGGTGAGCACAATGACAGCCCCCTTCTGTAGCCTGGGCTTTAGTGGATGGAATATGACGTAATACCTGCAACAAAAGAGAAATTAAACATTAAAGTCTAACATGTTGCTTATTTGATTATGAATACATCGTCAAGACACAGACATACATATCCATAACCACCAAGAGAACAAAGAGGACGAAGACAAGGACAAGGACAAATTCAGATCATGTTTAGCTCAAGGTTAGCTCGATGTTTGCATACCATCGTGAGCCATCGATGAATCGAGTCCATCAAGGTGAAAAACTTAACAACTATAATACCATGATCAATAAGATGAACAATAATAATGAAGTAAAAAGTACGAATAAGCACAAACATTCACTCGAAGAAGAGATCAGTATAACAACACGCTTACGTTGAAGCACCGGAATCAGTGGATTTTGTTATTCCTTCATACCACGGTTATATAACAATATAAATGGATTTTCTGTGTCGTCCATTCAAACTGTTACGGTTAATATTGATGTTCTCGACGTTGTGAATGCTTATTGGAACATTCTGTTATATAAGAAATAAAGGAAGACCTACTGCCCAGTATGGCGTGGCAGGGACGGGGATGAACGCGCTATTCAAGATATTATATACATATATGTATTGTTACTTTGAGCTCAAGTCTACAGTACAATGAACTATAACAAAACATCGTATAAGTCTACATAATATCTGGTTAGAACAATCATACATTTTGAGGTGTACCCCTATGAATTCCTAGTTTTTAATGTCTAATTAAACGCCAGTTATTGCATAATAAGAGAGCAATAAGAGAATATAAATTCTTAAAATTCTTAGTGTTAACCTTCTCGATCTGTTCGACACCATAAGTTAAAAATATGTTGTTGTTGAGCAACATAGTTGAGTCAATCTATCACAAGTAATCTATCAAATTTGTCTGAAACGAACCACAAGACGCCCTTAGCCAAAATGAAAGATTGTCGCCGTTAAAATCATAATACATAGCAACGTAAGGAGAACGAAAAACAAAATTTAATTAGTGGTATGGATCCACATATCCTATTCAATAAAGGAATTGAATTGAATAATGTCTTGAAATAAAAACCACTCATAAATACTACAGTACCCTCCTATTCGGGTGGATATATCTGAAAGACAATTACTATGTTGGATGAGATCCTTAATGGGTCCAATGATTGCGAATACATATGTGTGTTGCCTTAAGAGCCATTCATCGAACATTGGAGCACGTAGTACATTCACCAATTAGTCGAAGGAACGGAGTGGGAATAAATGGCACGATGATGTTGTGCCTAGAAGTCATAATGTTAAGTCCCTTTTGGATATATAACCTCATTCTCAGAATACGTATTCTGCTAGCGGAAAATATAAACCAGGCAAATCTGGCCTACGCTGGAGCTATTTTTTGGGAGACCGTATCAGTGACACAATAATCATAGAAAATGTTGTGTTGTTTTGATTGTTGTTGGTAACCCCAGTCATACACTTTACGTGATTCAAACAACTGAACCACGGCTACTACGGCCGTTACACGATATAGATTATTAAAAGGCGGTAGTCGTCGCGCCACGCATGCGCGAGATATATGGGTCTCACATAAACAAAGATGTCGACTTTTACTGTTGCGCAGATCAACGAGTGCAAACTGAGACGTTAGCAAGCTTTAATTAGGTATTTTTCAGGTGATTGGTAGGTATCGAAGGAGTCACCGGCGGTAATCAGTGCAAGTTGCGCCTAGGTCAAACCTCGTACTTGTGATTTCAATTAGAAGAGCGTATTATGGGAAAATCAATGTTCATCAACACAATTGTCGGACATGTGCAGAGCGACGACCACCAACCCCTGAGGCATATTATTATTATAAGTAGATTGAAATTACTGACATGACAGTGACATCTGTAGCTTGTCTATTTTTTACCGCTTCTCAAATATACATAAGATGTAATCAATTGTAAGAGATGCAAGATTTAGTTTGATATTTATGGTTGTATCGTTTTAATCAGTTTATTATTATTATTTTTAGAATTCAAGTATTAATATTTAATCATACCCATCCTTCACCGCTTAAGAAGTTCATTGTTTCGTGTCAATAAGCCACAATTTTGTACCTAAGTGTGTACTTAGATTTT